ATAATAGGTACACGCTCATTCATAATATATTGGTGTTACTCACTTGACACGTCACGTCAACACACGGACGTTGTACTGGAAAAAAAAAAAAAAATCAATTCGATCCGTATAACGTACAATGTACAAAAAAATAAACAAACCCCGCATCCAAACACACGTAATGCATGTACGTAACGTGTATACGGATGCCCCAAAGGTGCTAATAATTAGCTTCTGTCGCAAATGATCCCACTCAATGAAACAAAACCCTACCACTCTCCTTGCCGCAGCAGCGAGCTCGCGCTCCATTTATCCGATCGCCCTTCTTTTTCAATCCGCGCATTAACTCAATTTCACCGAACAACCCCTGCTCGCTACAATACACTCGCCCCGCTATCACTGCACACGTGTACGCGACACGCACGCGGAGCACACATCAGGGGGATATTATCCACGCGGCTTTCGAGCTCGGCGCATCTGCTTTTCCCGCACGCCACCGCTTGTGTATATACAAACGAGGGTTGGGGGGGAGAGGGTTATACGATCAGTGAAAGCCAACGGGTGTATACGCTTATACACAGTATCCGTATACAGCAATGGATACACGGCGAGCGAACAAGAGAACAAGCATAGTTACACGTACATGTATATTATTATATAGGTAGTACCCACAGTGTGTACCTTTACGAAGAGGATGAGAGTCTACGCGCCCTCGCCAAGTGTATATTATGACCGAGCAATGATTTATATACAGATTTACCGATGTCACTTGTGTGCATGTGCTTTGACTCACTCTCTCTCTCCCTCTTGAGCTTTGACTTCTTGGAAGTTGGCGATTGCACGTTTGGTGTTATTAATGGCAGTTTGTGTCATGTACGTGTGGAGGTTGATGTATATTATATATACGTATAGTCGAGTCAAAGGATACCCTTGCACAACTGTGGGATATTGGGGGTTGATTGCGTTCTGCGATGCTTGGGATCGTTACGCGACGATTGTCGCAAATTTTTTCTTTATTTTATTCTATTAGGCATCGGATATATATGCTTGTGGTGTTGGTTATATTGTTATCGGATCACGTTGCATGTCGTAAAGTTAGTACAAATAAACGCTTTCTTATTTTTGTTTGCACGAGTCGTGTGCATCACCCAAACATATTATATTGTATTAGCTATATATACATGAGGAAATCATATAATAACATTGTGTTCTCAATCTTAGATGAAGATGTTAACAATATCGTTATATATACTCTCTGCATCGTGAAGACAGTGGTTTTCATTTATAATAACTTGGCCCGTATATATTGCATAAATCAACTCGTTGGTTGTCCTTAAGCGTATTTTCATGATCACCGCTGAGTTGAGAGCCACTGTTTCAATGGTGCTTTGTTGTGATAAGTCTCGGGAGCAAGAATTGTCTTTTGTTCTTTCTTTCTTTCTTTCTTTTTTTTTTTTTTAGTTTTTCTTTCGCGTGTTACATAAGAATTTCATGCTTTTAATTGTTAGTAATATTATTATTATTATTCTTCATACATTTGAAGACTGACGTAGCTCATCACGACGAATCGTTTAACAATATGTGACGCGTACGCGAATAGTATAATTATCTTACAATGTGATCCCGTTGGTCTTTATACATATATTAAAATAGTGATTTGTTACGTCTTACTGCAGTACAAATATTGAATAGTTTATTGAAGCAATTTTATTTTAATGAATTTCTGGTGACAAATATTTAGCTAAAAGAAAAAAGTAGGTATGTGAAGTTGGCATGGTCCTTTCCGAATCGGTACATGATATTTGGGTCAAAATTTTCTGATTTTTTTTTTGCAGTTCACAATTGTACCAGGTTTTTGAATTTTTAGTTGCAATTTCAATAAATACACACGACCTGCGAATTGGCCGATTTCCATTAAAGTTATCAGGACAGTTTCAGTCCCGCTTAAGTGAAAGTTGGCAAACTGGCCAATTCGCAACTAATGCTATGAAAAACAGCACCTCGATTTTTCAAGCCCAACGTATTGAAAAAACTGCAAATTTCGGCCCCAATATCATAAAAAAAATCTGTGATTTTAATTCTGGACTAACACAATAGCGAGTTATTTATACCTAAGTAAGTTACGATGAGCTAAATCAGGAACAACGTCATAGTCTATATGGTGCGATTATATCAAAACGTTTATGCCGTATAGCTCTAAATGAGCTCGCGGTGCTGCAGAATGCTAAATTATTCCGAGTCTAGGTAAAGCAAACTTTACGAGGGACTTACTGCAGCAGTGCGAGCTTTTAGTCACGTCTCCGTGCACCGAATAAACGTTCCGCTCCTCGACGATCATTTTGCGAATGTGCTTTTCTCGTTCGTCAGTCGATCACCGTGCTTGATGTATTTTTTGTGTTTGACGTCACTTGTAACCTCATTACTGGCACGGAATGATACTCGGACAAACGTGTAGTGTACTGGCAATACTGCCGAAATAGCTTCCACAGTGACGTTATAGGTGAATATGTCATTACGTAACGTACAACAATTGTTTTCAAGTCGTGCGATTTATCTCCTATCGACACGAAGATTACCATGGTATTGCTCTTTTTTTTTTCCCATCTGATTCACACCTTGTTTCATGGATTATTGATTTTGTTTATCAAGTATAGTTATGGTTTCGTGGAATAAAAAAAGAAACATTCGATGGTTGTAGTACTCAACCGTCGAGGACTCGCGAGAGACACTTTTTTCATTTTGCTCCGTCTTTCTTCTCCTGTGCTCGGGGAAATACGACTCTCTCTCTCGAGAGAGAGAGAGAGAGACCCTGTAACGGGATATTTTGCCACTTGCGATGCTGTAGGAGAGAAAGAAAATTATTACTCGCTTAATGATTATTTGGCTGCGAGTTTCCGGGTGGCGGGGGAAAAAACGGATTGCGAGAGAGTCCATCTATTGGGCGCGTGTGTGTGTGGTGGTGCGACAGTTGACAAAGCTGTGGGTACACGAGTGCGATGACATTTGGGTGAATGAGTGACGACGACGGCGTGTGTAGAGCAGCAGGGTATATTGTAACTAACTGTTAGTTTGGAGTAATGCGTTTCGTCGCAGGTTGTGTTTGGAAGAAATATTGCGCGTGAAGGCTTTTTGTATAGCGCTCGGCATCGATTGTGTATCGAATCAAGCAGTGTTTCTTAGGTTAGAAAATTGAATAAGCACACGTTTTTATCTTCACTAGGGATCTGCTGGATATTTTGATTATTTTATTTTTAATAAATTTTTATTTGCGATGTTATATCAGTATTAAGAGTTTTTTTTACGAATAAATAATAAGTAGTTGATCAACAAAAATTTTGCTTATGGATACTGAGTACTTTTGTCCTTTGGATTTTGAAAAAATGAACCTTTAACTAGATATATGCGACTAGATATTCTAAGTAATAGTTACCTAATAGATTCATTTTTTTTATGCGACAATTGCTGACAATTGCTGTTTTGAGAAAAAAACAAAACCTTTTCTCAAACTTTAATTATTTTACTTTTACACAACGTCATTTATTGACTTGAAAATTTGACTAATCATTATTTTTGTTGTTACAATTTATAAGTATATGATTAACAAAAAAAAAAAAAAAGAAACAATTTGTCAGTATTTAACTCAACGATCAAAACATCCGTTGGAATGAAATTCTGAATTTTTCAATGCTTATTTCACGACAAATACGGCAGTATGTTATTTTCTTCGAGGTGTTTCCGGAGTTGATCGATCGATAACTGAGGTCAAGGTTTCCCAGCGATTGCTAGTTGCTTATACAAAGTAAAATTGACGAAACTTTTCTTTATAAAAAGTAAATCGACTCAATTTTATGTATAGCATTTTTATTAAATCATTTTGATAGCTAAAATATTTTTCAAATCCATATTATTACTTTGAAACGTTGAAAAGTTTATTTCGTTTTTAAGGCAAGAAGGTTGTGCATTCGTTGCTGCATTTACTCATACATTACTCACTTAGTACTTCTTTGTCAAGCCAATCGACAACATTCTCGGGACACTCGATCGTGCAACTTTTTGTCACGAAAATTCATCGTTGTCTCATGAAAATTGGTACACCGTCGTCGAAATACATTTAAAAAACTATACTTGGAATTTTACGACCAACCCATTAACCGCTCGAAACAACTAAAATTCTCCATCAGCACAGTAACTCGGCCGAAAAGCACCAGTTGAGCGCGTATACAAAGCTAGCCCTCGTAAATCCGTTCCCCGCGCATATTTATGACCTATGTAAGTCACCCGAGAGCAGCCTTTACCACCGGCCGCAAAAGTCGCAGTATTAAAACTTGACACGTTCATGCGTATTATCTTCTCCAGACGGAGTAATCTCGAAAATTTCTAAAATCGGCGATGACCAATAAATTACACCAAAAATACCCCGTACGTGACCGAGTGTTGACTAAAATTTTCAACGGCAAGTTTAAAATAATGAACTCGCAAAAGCAACACGATAATTTGAAAATGCATTGTGAAAATTTTATCCGTAGGCGTATAAGGCTCCCGTTAACTCTTGAGCGGGTGCGCGAGAATCGGGACAATAGAGGTACGTCTCTTGAAGGACAGGGAAAGAGAGGTCTGCGCTATACAACTGGCAAAATTTCCATGAGGTCACTTTGCAAAAGTATAAAGACCATATGTTTATTATATTACACGGTATATAGAGCTACTGGGGCTACTTTTCTTGTTGTGCAGATGTTAATAAAATAGCGCCAAGCTTGTTATCATATTTTTTTGTTTAGTCTTCAGTGTAAGTTGTAAAAATACCGTAGATGCATTTCGATGAAAAAAAAAAACAAAAAAAAAAAAAAAAAAAAAAACTGATATCACGTATACACGAGTGTGTTTACCCAATACCGTCGATTGATACGCTCGTTCGACGTATATTTAATATATAGCTACGAAACGACGAGCTCTCTCATCCCCAAAAAAGTACTCGCAAGCGATTAACCGATTGCTCATCTGGGGCGCGTCTCGTGTTCCAGGATACTATCAGCCGGCTGGTCCGCTGATACAGCATCCGCCGATGACGCTGCCGTCGGTGAAGGGTCCACCGCCAGACCCGACGCCCACACCTCCGCAAAACTCGGAGGGCTCGGATGACCTCGTCGCCACCTCCAGCACGTCCGGTGGCACGAGTAGCACAGGTGAGTTTGTTATACATACGCATTATACATCACGTAGCGCCGTGTCACGAGTACATAATTCTTCGGTCAGGTATATATGTGCACACGCTGTAACAATCAATCGACCAATCGCTCGTGGAACAAAAAAATGCTTTACAAGAGCTTCGTGCACATACCTACCTGTATCTATCTATATTATACTGATAGCAGCTCGAGTAACTCGTGAAGCTCGAGAACAAAGACTCGTTAATCAGAGCCAAAGCGTGTGCGCGTGTGTGTGTGTATTTCGTCGCGCCCGCACACACCTAAAATTTGACGCGTTTAAACGAAACGAGACAAATAATTGTTTTAATGTTATATTGCGTAACGCGTGTGTCAAAGCAGGTGGTGGCTTCTATCGCACGTACTGCCCGCAATATTATGCGACGCCGCCGCAATACCATCAGGATATCTGCTACCCGCCCTCGTACTCGCATTCTCATCCGCACCCGCCGCCTTACTACCACAAGTACGCCCCGGCTCCCTATCGCAGGTAAGTTCACTCGCGCCTCTGCACCATGTACATTATTTTTTATACTCGCACTCCTATGATTAATTGTGGATAAGTGGGTGTTTTATTATTAACGACATCAAAATATCCTATGATTTGAAATTCTTATGGCGTAGTCACCTGGAAACTATAAAATGTGATTAATAGAAAGAGAGAGTCAGAAAGGAGGGTGAAAAAAAAAACAAAAAAAAAAACAAAAAAAAACCCCAACATTGGTGATTTGTTTGTGGTCGACAGGCAGTACTACGCGTACCAGGAGACTGGAGCGGGTGGTGGTCCAGCCGGTTCCGGGGCCGGTCCCGGGGTCGTCGAGTACCAGCCGCCGCCTGGCGACTATCTGCCCTACTACGGTGGGTATCCGCCCCCGCCGCCCCAACCACCGCCAAATTCGGCATACTTGCACTCACAGGGACGACCCTTTGTAGAACGTAAGTGAGCACTTTGTTATACCATGCCTTTGGCAAAGAGGTAATTAATAATAATAATTAAAACATCTTGTTGGTTCGGTCAACAACAACAGACGCCTTCCAGAGCTGTCCGTGCCCCATGCAGTCGTGTCCAAAAAACGCGGATACTGGGCCCCTTATTGGTAATGGTAAGGGAGCGCCAGTTGTATCGGGGCCCGGTCTGTCATTGCCACCCAGCGCCTTGGTGGGGCCGCCCTCGCCCGCGCGGGGTCTAGCCGGGCTAGCACCCGCACACGGGGCCAACGCCTGGGACACGGACCGCGTCCAGCTCAATCATCATCCTCATCATCAGTATCAGCAGCAGCAGCAGCAGCAGCAGCAACAACAACAACAAAAACAACAAAAACAACAACAACCAGCAGCAGCTGCTGCCTTGGCGCCTTATCGTGCCATACAGCCCCAGCCTCCGAATTCGCAGCAGTCCCAGCAGCAGCAGCAGCAAGCAACACCAGCTCTGTCGGCCCAGTCGCAGCCGGAGCTTACCACGTCGACGGTATCTGGGGCCCCGGCCAACCCCACCGTTGCTGCTTTCGCTTCGGTGAAGCAACAACAGGCCCAGCACGCCTTTGTCAAAGTGAGTTGGTTGTTGAATAGCTTTTTTTTTTTCTTTTGCGGATCCTGAATTTCTGTCCATTTCGTGTATACGGAAATAGATTCGCAGCGACACGTTCTGTACACGATCGGTGATAGGAGAAAAAAAAAAAAAAAATAAATAAATAAATGACGCGTCAACTTATTGCATTTTATAAATATAACGAAAAATTCACGAGGCACATTGTTTTCACGCGTATTTCCAATGAAACCGCGTGAGTCACGCGCTCGAATATAACCAACGTTACATTGACGCGCGTTTTAATCACCGCGCAATGGCAAATACAGAATACATCAAGCCCCAATTGGAAATTGTTACGAGCCGCGCGTCTGCCCGTGCACTTGGTTATTTATCGTTAAAAAATGATAACACTCTTGGATGGAAAAACAAGCGCATAACGTACCATAAAGCGCCGTGGACTCCGAAGAGTAGTAGCCACGACGGTGTTCCCTGACAACCTTCTTTTTTTTGTGCACGTGTAACTACGCAGAGAGTAACCGTATCCCCTCTCCCCCCCCTTCCTACCATTCTTCATATTTTCCGCTTTCTCTTTGTACTATATCGTCGAGTCGATCATCGGTCGAGTGACAGTCGGTCGTTGTTTTGGCCACAAACATCATCCCTCGTTTTCTCTCTCTTTCTACGTTGCGCGCTGCAGGCAGACACGAAGGAGTGCGCCGAGTCGAAGCTCCGCGTGGCCGCCGTAGGAGCCAAGTGTTCCTGCACCAGTCCGGCTCATCGCCACCACCACCATCACCACCACCTGCACCACCATCATCATCACCAACAACAACAACAGAACCAGAGCGCCAACAGCGGCCCGAGGTTGGCGTTGCAGCAGCCAGTGATCGATGACTCGACCGCGCTCCCGGTAGCCACGTCATCGCTGTCGACGACGACGGTAACAACGACGGCACCGGCAACTTCGGTGGCCAGTTGCGAGACGGTCAAGCTCGAGAGCGTGTCGCCGGCGAGCAGTGACGAAGCCTCCGGGCCGAGCAGTGCTTCCTCGCCGGCGAGTTCGGCGTCGGCCAAGCTCCACCACCATCGGGGCCTCAAGCTCGAGAACAGCAGCGTCAAGTGCGAGGCTTGCAGGAGGCGCCCCGACGAGACGGAGGAGCTAGCGAGCCGGCACCACCACCACCACCACCACCACCATCACCACTCGCGGGAGCAGCACAGGGAGGACGAGGCGACGCTCGTGGTGGGTATGCAGTTGCAGGCCGGCGAGCACGTGCCCTGCGCCACGAGCTGCCGCGTCAAGTGCGAGATCGGCTACAAGTGCGAGATGTTCAAGTGCGAGCAGTGCGTCAAGGAGGCCGGGCATATGGCTAGTATGGAGATTGACAAGGACTCGGGGATACTCGAGGACGACGCGGGCAGCGCCAAAATGGATGCCGACGCCGAGGTCAAGGAGGAGGAGGAGCTCGAGGCCATCGTGAGTTTCTTTCTTTCTTTTTTTCTTCCCTCCCCCTACGGTTGAGATCACTCACTCCTATTGTGTTGATGACGTGACGAAATCGGTATCGAAATATACCGATCGGACGCCGATGTCTGACTCGAGTATTTCGGAATCGATGACTCGTCTTGTCTATCGTTATCATTTACAACGAATTTGATAACTCGCAGGATACACGCGCATACCGATACGAATAACAATACTCGTAAATAAGGGGCCATTATCCGTGGCCAGTGTCTCATTGGTCGGTGTGCCTTGCGTTTTATTTTCGACACGAGTGTCAACCTTTTTCCTTTTTTTTGGATTTGAAAAAAAAGCAGTCGAGCACATCGCCGTGGAAAAAGAAGCCGGACTACGAGCCAACGGCAGCTGAGCCGGTGTTGACGAACGGCTCCGTGAACGGGGACGGGAACGACGAGATGGACGAGGAGCCGAGGGATGAGTCCAACTCGGACGGCCGAGAGAACGTCGTACTTGGCAAAAGCCAGCCGAACAGCAGCATCGACAGCTCGGCCGTAGAAACCGAGGCGGCGTCTTTGGAGCAGAGCCGGACAAAGCCGAGCAAGCGGAGAAAGTTGTCGCTCGACAGCCTCGCCCCGGACGCCGTCAAGGCCAAAAAGAGCAAGCGCACAATGTCCGTCAGCTCGCCCCGGGAACTCGATCAGCAGGAAACCACCGCGCCACCGACAACTACGTCCTCCGTACCCACGATTCCGGTGCTGGTCAACGGCGTGGGCGAGAAAAACCAACTCCCCGAGCCCGTCGTCGCCAATGGAGCTGTTGCCGGTCACTTGGACTCGGTGAGTGAGACGATTTTTTTTTTTTTTTTTTTGTTCGATCTTTTGCCTCAAATAGTATCAGATTTACCACGTGTCCTCAAAAGTGTATACAATATACGCTCGCCGGGAGTGTTTTTGTTGTTGTGCGCAGCGTCGACTGCTAGGTGTCCGTAAACACTTGACGCGTTATCTGCCCAAAAATATACACAGTCTTGTATCGCGCCGTGACGCGTAATCCTCGATGTATTATCAACCCTTTTTAGTTGGTCTCGTGTTTCCTGGCGTTGGTACGATTCGTGAAAAACGAGCTTGGGTGTGGTTGTAAATGCCTATACACCGTAAGCATCGAAAACGAAGGTACACAGATGGTATTTTCTTTCGCAATAATGCTTTTTTTATACAATTTAAACAATAACACCGACTTTCGAAGTACCTTTAAAAACAAGACAAGCTGTGACAAAAATATTGAACTTTGGTGTTTTGTCGAGGAGATCAAGCGTTGACAAACATAAGAAAAAAAAAAAAAAAAAAAAAAAAAAAAAAAAAAAAAAAAAAAAAAAAAAAAAAAAAAGAAAAAAAAAAAGAGAGAAACTTAAAAATCTCATGCGAGCGTTTCGAATCTGTCGAATCATAGCCGTCGAGTGCAAAGGAGTCGTCATCGTCGAGTGCCACGAAGAAAAAGCCCAGCAAAAAGGAGTCCCAGAAGCGCAAAGCCGATGTGAGCGCTGTCAGTACCGAGTCGCCTCTGAAGAAGTCGAAAACGAGCAACGGCGGCAAAACGGTGGCGAGCGAGAGCTCGATCATGGAGACGATCAACACCGTGATCCAGCAGAGCATGGAGATGGCCCAGAAGCAGGTCTCGGCGACGAAAGCGAGGAAACAGCCAAAGGTCAACCTACCAAAGAAGAGCAAGAAAAACGGGGCTGGCTTTCTGTCGACGATAAAGCGGGCCTCGAAAAAAATCGAGCTCGACGTCAGCGAGAAGGTCGGCCTGATCAAGACGAAGCTCAACAGAAAGCTCGCCGGCGCGGCCAAGACCAAGAAAAAGAGCACCAAGAAAGCCAGCAGTCAGTGTACCAATGGCAAGGTACAGGATACCAGGACGAAGAACAACAACAAGGTCAAGGCCAAGCTGCTCGAGGTCAGGAAAAAAGTCATACAGAACGCGAAGAACACGTGCAAACTCGCCGACATCAAGAACAACAAGCTGGTCCAGGAGGCCAAGAACAGCAGCAGCAAGCTACTCGAGGCCAAGAACAACAAGCTCAACGAGGCCAAAAACAAGTCGGCCGCTGTTTCTACCCCCATAGTCGCTGCTGCTGCTGCTGATCCCGCTGAAGTCGTCAAGAGCACCAAAGTCGTTGCAGAGTCGAGGGCTGCGAGACCCAAGAGCCTCGACTCCAAGGATGCCAAAGCCAGTCCTTCTGTGGTTCCCGTGGCCTCTGCTAAGGGTCTGCCCAAGGAGTGTCCCAAAAAGCCCGCCAACAAAGCAATCGAAGCGACGAGCACGACTATAGCTGTGCCCCCATGTGTGGCTAAGGTTACCAAGAAGAAGGGCAGAACGTCCAAGAGCAAGACTGGGAGAAAGGGCTCCGGGATCATGAGCAGGCTCGAGGAGCTGGCGGAGGTGACGGCCAGCAAGTGCCTGCAGATGCCCAGGAGGCCCTTTCTCAAGCCTAAGTGGAGCAACGGCTGGAACTGGGAGGGCGAGGCGTTCGAGGCCAAGGTTTATCTTAACGTAAGTCACTGCTTTGTTATGTCCCTGAGGTTGAGAATATATTATAGCCGTAGGTGATCGGTAGCTCTTTACTTTTTTCACCACATTTTTTTTTTCTTTGACTATCGTTCCGTAATGTAGTACTCGGAATAATTTCCGCATATTGATACAGATTTTACGGTAATGTTTCCTGGTGCAAAGTAAAACTTGTTATACTTAATAATATTACAGACGTTATAACAGAAATACGTTATTTTATTTTTTTTTTTTAAGAACGAGTCGTCTGCCGTTCGCCGGTGTTACGTTAGCATGAGGCACGAGAGCGGAGACGTGCTGCGACCGCTGGACTGCGTTTTGCTCAAGAGCGGCATCAGAAAGGCCGATCTGCCTTACGTAGCAAAGATCGCCGCGCTCTGGGAGAACCCTGACGACGGTGAGTGTACTTTTTCGTCCATCTGTGTCCCCATTACTATCGAAAATTGCAATGGCTGATTCTCGAAATGTTCCGTCAATCCAGGTGAGATGATGTTCTCGCTGCTGTGGTACTACAGACCGGAGCACACGGAACAGGGCCGCACGAAATTCGATACCGACGACGAAGTGTTTGCGTCCCGGCACCGGGACGCCAACAGCGTCGCCTGCATCGAGGACAAGTGTTACATTCTCACCTTCACCGAGTACTGCCGGTAAGTTGCTCTTCTTTGAGACATCTTGCAGGTTTTTTTTTTTTTACTATCTCGTTTTTGGCAATATTAAATTTGTTGGGTCGGTTGTTGTTGTTCGCAAGGTATCGCAGTCATCTGCGTAGGATGGAAGAGGGTATGGACAATCCAAGCCTTACGAACATGGTGCCTCGGGGCCGGGACGACTATTACCGCGAGTCTCGCCAGCCTCCGATGCCCGTGTCACCGGACATGGTCCTGTTCTGTCGGAGGGTTTACGACTACCGCGGCAAGAAGCTCGTCAAGCATCCTGGATGACTCGATTACCCGAGTGGCGAGAGTCAGCAGAAAACCATTTCCAAAAGTGGCAAGAAAACAGTCGCGCCGAAAGAGCAGTAGCAGCTTCTGTGAGAAAGGGACTCGAACAAAAAAAAAAAAAAAAAAAAAAAAAAAAAAAAANAAAAAAAAAAAAAAAAAAAAAAAAAAGAAAAAAAAAAACAAAGAAACAAAAAAAATATAGATAGACAATGTCGTCAAGTATATTGACGCGTAGGGAGCACACAAGCGGAGCAGTGTGACAGTTGTTTGTAAAGCACGACCGAGTCCCCAGTGGATTTGACAGTTTTAAAGTTAAATAAGAACAATATTGATACGATGGCAAAAAAAAGCAACAAGTGAGTGAAGATGGAGAAACAGAGAAATGAGATAATATTTTTTTGCGAAAATAGTCTTTACACGCGCATCACGAGAGTGGCAAATTGGAAATAGAAGAGAAGTAAGACAGGAGAATATTTTTCAACTAGCACTTTAGCGTAGAATGTCACTATTCGCGCGGGAGATTACAGAAAAAAAACAAAAAAGGAGGTGAAATAAAGATTTAAAATAATTCAAAGAGAAGAAGCCAGGGGCATTGACCATTTTCAGCGGTAAGGTATGTCGATGAAAATACCTCTGTTGTAAACTTGTATTATAAATTTGTCTCCTAAGGGATGCTTCACACTAGCAATTGATTGATATTTTTTTTCTTCTTCTATACTTTATTTATCATTGTTTTTTTTTCTACGTGCTTTTTTGCTCGACTCGATTAACTTTTCAGAGGAAGAGAGAACCATTTTTTGAAACGAATGCGATGGATTGACTGATGCGTATGGTCAATATTTTTTTAGAATTTATTTACCATTTGTATTTTGATTTGGATTTTTTTTTTAATACTAACGCATAAGTAAGACATTTTCATACAACTACTTGTTACGCTTGATACTGTAGAAGTACAATTTTTTTAATTGCCCATAATTCTTACGAAATATTATTCATATAAAATTTTTTCGAGTGAAAAATTGTGAGCTGATCACACGGAATCTGAATACTGAGTATTTGAACGCAAGTACTAGCGAATAATCATCGTAACATTTTTTAAAAGTCTCTAATATTTTTTTAACCAATTTTGAGCTCTACTGCTGTACTCTATATAGATCACATTGATTTGTTTTTTTATAGATCGAAAACTATAACTAATGGCTTACCATTTTTCCTAAATATAAATTATTAACGAGGTACGCAACACAGCTAGCATGCAAATTTTATTCATACAATAATCACAAAACAACTTAAAAGTAGGTGACAAACAAGTTACTAAATTTTTTTTTCAAACATCTTGTACATTGTACATGCCGAAGATGATTCTCTCTTCTAAGGGCCTTGACAACCTGTAAATCTTTACAAACGATTACACAATGTGTAAGCTTCACACGAATTATCGCGGTTGTACATGTTTTGCTACGTAAATGTTTAATAAATGATTTATACAAATTAAAACATAGTATTGATACGGTGTTATATAAACGTGACACTGTAGGTCAATGTGATGACAAAAAAAAGAAGCGAACTTTTTTTTATTTTGATGCACGAATGATTGTTGCAGTTATTATTATAATTNTTTTGTTATTGTTATCATTCTTCTAAGCATTATACTTATCGTTATTATAATTACTTTTATCTAAGTTTACAAACATTTTCTAAGTATCATTATGACTTTCATCATTATTATCATCACCATTACTATCACTATTATCAACTTTATTGTTATCATCATTATTAAAGTCATTTGCATCGAAATAAGTCTCAATATCGCTATCTTTATTAATTTTATTACTATCGTTGCCATTTTTCTCATTATCTTTATTATTATTATTATATTGTATTATTTAATATCTAATATATTGGAACATCAACTTTGATAAGTTATTACTTTTTAGTGTGCAAAAGAGTGTAAGGAATGAGTAGAGTGTAAAAAAGAGAGAAACATAGAAATGTTACGTTCTCATTTGTATTTAAATATCTTGAAAATAATCCTTACAATAATCACGACCAAGTAGTTTCGTAACAAATTTCCTTTTTTGATACTAATGATAAACAGTTATATACATTACTTCATTCTTATTTGATTGAATACGTTATTCAGAAGTTTTTATACTTCTCAGAGATGCGAGACACTTTGATGAATTTTTGTGTCTCTTTAATAAACAAAAAGTATTTTAAAAAATTTGGTACACGTTTCTGTGACGCATTACGATGGGAACAGTGAATATTTTAGAAAAAAAATATAAACTATAAAGCATATCCTCCATTCGTCTTTTTCCGTACAGTCGACGAAATTGTTACGCTGAAAGAGTCTATGAATATATAATTAATTCCATTGCACTTAGGAACGCGTTTTGTTATTGCGGTGTCTCTCATTTAAACTAGCACAACTCAAGTTTTCTATTGTTCTTTTAAATGGGAAAAACCAAGTTGTGATAGACTCTGCAGGAGACATCGATTTTAAGTCTACTAATAAAGAGCAAATATGCAATTAAAAAAAGGTTTGTTGGCATTAATCAAAAACGTAAATGTAGAGTGAAAATATACGAGAAAAATCAAGATTTGGATTTAAAAAATTAATTTACGGAAGAACCGTAAATAAAGTGTTGCTGTAAATGCTTACCCCACACAAACACAGTGGACTTTGGAGTCCCGGTCTACATTTTTAAAATTGCTATTTGCTGTACTTTACTACGTCCTAAAAAAAAAAAAAAATTTGTCTATAGACTCATTATAATGAGTGCGAGATCCATGAATCTCAAGACAGATTTTGAAAAAGTTATTCAGTTGTCGAGTTTGGTAAAAATTACTTCGACTAGCGTTGAAGATGACAATGTTTTGAGTATATACAGATACGAGGAAAAGTATGCATCTAAAAAATTGAAAAAATACTAAATAGCCGAAAAATACTTCGAATACGTAATTTTTTTCAGAGTCAATATGAGTTTTCAACTACTTTTATTAACGAATAACACATATGTTTTATTTGGAGTACGAGCCGGCTTATCGATCGATTCTATAACAAAGTCTGCAAGTAAATATACCCGGAAAAAACAATTTTAATCATTTTCTCAAAATCTGTCCACAATTTGGATTTGTGTCCGTCGAGACCTTTGTTCGAGATATTATAAACCACAATATAATATGAGAATTCTAACTCATTTGACAGGGACCAAAAACCCATTGTGTTTGTGTGGCGTCAAAGAGTAACATAAAATTAAAAAAAGAGTCCGACGGTTCAGTGTAATGCAGTTTAGTAAAACGTAAAGTACTTTTCGATGCATAAGTAAAAAAATAAAATTTAAAAAAAACATAGGCTGCCGGATGAACATAGTCGAGTGTTCGTCAGTTAAGGAAAAAAAAAAGTTTCATGATGCCTTCGAGATGACGTTTGCAAAATAAAGTGAAAAAGATACTGAATGGGAAGCAAACACTTCCAGATCCTAAGAATTGTGCAAAAAACATGTAATTTTTATGTGTATTTGATGCTTTATGTATAATTATATATTAATTATCAGTTACAGCTGTAATGATCAGTGGGTACAGGGAAATTTCAGGCTATTGATGTTTCTCTTGTTGAGCAAACAAAAAATAAATATCATATTTACTGTTGCGTATGAGATAAAATTGTAGTAAACGTGGCTTTGTAGTGATTTTGAAATAAGATTTTGATTTGACGATTTAATGTTGCTTTAACCATTGGGCATTTTAGATGATAGTTTTTTTCGAAATTTTATTGTATAATTTTTTTGCGATAATCAAATTCACTAGGGCAAGTGTTTATACCATAATTTTTTGACAAAATTTCGTAATTAAAAGACAAAAAACAATAGTTAACGATAAATGCCGTTTATATACAAATGTAAGTGGCTGATCATCCAATCCCAAACATATGTACTGACAGTATAATAAGTTAACTTACATTTAGTGCTATACATGTCTTATTTACGAATAATTAATATATATAATTATATATAATTATTAAATAAATGTAAATATTATACGTGGTTACATTCAAAATAAAAAAAATTGTTTAAATAAATGGTTTGTTTCAGTTCTTTTATTTTTTATTTGAAAATCAAAATGGAAAAAATATGTTTACAGAGACACTCCTAGTTTAAGAGTCACCTAATCATGAAGGTTTTGAAAAAATGAGAAAAAACGGTTGCAAAGGAAAAAAAAGGAACAGTTTTTGATATTTTTGCCTGTGATGTAAAATACGATGTATAATCGTGCACTTATAAACCAAGCAACCAACGACGTTTCGTCTTTTTGTATACACATATATACACAAGCGAATCGGTCGGCTTGACCATTTTTCAGGATGTCGTAAATAAGTAAATTATTGTAAAGTAGCGTTTATATACCTATATGATAAAAAAAAAAAAAAAAAAAAAAATTACTGTAAAGAATGGTGTTGAGCGAAGAGCCGTCGGACCTGATAGATTATTAGTGAATGAGAAAAAAAGAAGCTCAACACTGAGACACAATGAGTTTGGTGTGGGATGAGCTTGAGTGAGAAAAATGAAAAAACAAAAGATTCAGAACTATTTATACACGAGAATTTGTGACATAACGGTAGATGAATAAATATTTAGGAGGAAAAAATACATAAATACATAAATATATGCATATGATATGTTGTATAATTAAACTTGAGGAAATGTTAGTGACGGAAGTTTTTTGACAAATTCTCAGTGTATTTGTTTTGAAAATAAAAAACATATTTTATGTTCGCTTTGTTGTATATAGCAATGCTGAAGTAAGGAAAAAGTAAAAGGAAAAATAATCAAATTGGATGAAATATTGATTTTGAAGGATTTAACGGTATAGTTTTTCTTTTAAATATAAACAGATGAATTGCTGGTAATCATGTTGAAAAAACAAAATGAAAATTTTTAAGAAAAAGTGCCACGATCGTTTCCAACGACCTTTACCCGAATTCTTGTAAAGGGTTTTTATTCTTCTACGTTACTCTTAGAAGATCGACTTTGCCTTTTCTGAACGAATATCTTAACGAGTACTGGAACTATTTTTGTTAATGTGCACATGTTTGGAACAGTGAATATTTTAGAAAAAAAATATAAACTATAAAGCATATCCTCCATTCGTCTTTTTCCGTACAGTCGACGAAATTGTTACGCTGAAAGAGTCTATGAATATATAATTAATTCCATTGCACTTAGGAACGCGTTTTGTTATTGCGGTGTCTCTCATTTAAACTAGCACAACTCAAGTTTTCTATTGTTCTTTTAAATGGGAAAAACCAAGTTGTGATAGACTCTGCAGGAGACATCGATTTTAAGTCTACTAATAAAGAGCAAATATGCAATTAAAAAAAGGTTTGTTGGCATTAATCAAAAACGTAAATGTAGAGTGAAAATATACGAGAAAAATCAAGATTTGGATTTAAAAAATTAATTTACGGAAGAACCGTAAATAAAGTGTTGCTGTAAATGCTTACCCCACACAAACACAGTGGACTTTGGAGTCCCGGTCTACATTTTTAAAATTGCTATTTGCTGTACTTTACTACGTCCTAAAAAAAAAAAAAAATTTGTCTATAGACTCATTATAATGAGTGCGAGATCCATGAATCTCAAGACAGATTTTGAAAAAGTTATTCAGTTGTCGAGTTTGGTAAAAATTACTTCGACTAGCGTTGAAGATGACAATGTTTTGAGTATATACAGATACGAGGAAAAGTATGCATCTAAAAAATTGAAAAAATACTAAATAGCCGAAAAATACTTCGAATACGTAATTTTTTTCAGAGTCAATATGAGTTTTCAACTACTTTTATTAACGAATAACACATATGTTTTATTTGGAGTACGAGCCGGCTTATCGATCGATTCTATAACAAAGTCTGCAAGTAAATATACCCGGAAAAAACAATTTTAATCATTTTCTCAAAATCTGTCCACAATTTGGATTTGTGTCCGTCGAGACCTTTGTTCGAGATATTATAAACCACAATATAATATGAGAATTCTAACTCATTTGACAGGGACCAAAAACCCATTGTGTTTGTGTGGCGTCAAAGAGTAACATAAAATTAAAAAAAGAGTCCGACGGTTCAGTGTAATGCAGNGTAAAAAAAAAAAAAAAAAAAGAAATGAAAAATAAAGTGATGAGAGGGAGAAGGACGAACACATAGTGCCGCAAGCTGTCGTTACGTTTGTAAAAGCAGCCAAAAATAATTAAAGAGATAAAAAAAGAAAAAAAAAACATTGTGTACTCGTGATAAAAAATCTATCTTTTCTCTGGATATAAATTCTGCGTGTAAAATAAAAAGACGATAGCGAGTCCGAGGTGTGAAATGTATGTGTTTTTTGTGGGAGACGAGGTAATAATAAAAACAAGAGAGAAAGACGATCGTGACGTGGCTCAAATTTTTTTGTCTGTGGTATATATTAATAAGAAGAAAATGAAAATAATTGAAAAATGAACGGAACTGCACGAGACGTGTTGAGGGAATAAGGAGAAAAGGTAAAAACGAGGAAAAAAATTTTATCATTGTAAAAAGCTGCGATGGAGGCCGAAATGTTCAATAAATTCTTTGATCGACCTTGGCGTACTATGGATTACTTTTTTCTCTAATCACCTTCCTTTGAGGTTTTTTATTTATTAATTTTACTTTCAAATAATTAAAAATTTTTTGATAAAACGATCTTACTTAACCAACCAATTAAAAAAATAAATGTTTAATTGTTATACTTCAGCCACATAAATTATTATACTACATATTGTGTTTAATTACAGTGAACAAATAAAATTAAAGTGTAACGCTATAATATATAACACAGCCACGGTGGGGTCTAACATCGCCTTTGAATCTTGGTATTCACACATGGCATAAAAATTTTTCGCACTCAAATGCGCGATCGTAAAAGGAGTTCGAACACAGGATAAATAAGCCGAAACATCTGAAGAACGGAACAAAGAAAGGGAATGAAAAAAAGAAAAAAGGTAAACGTGGAAACCAACGAGAGACGGACGGTTGGGCAAATATTCTTCGTAGCCAATACACATTGCGCAGCCGGGAGGCGGGAACACCTCGAAAATGCTAAACTTCGAGAAATGCAAATGCTGGAGGGCAAGGCAGGAGAGACAAACATGGCACGAGGGGAAAAAAGGACGAGTATGCTCGAGACGAAGATAAGAAAAGGAAGAGCAGAAATAAGAATGAGACGGTGTTCTGTTCAGCTTGAAAAAGTACGAAAGTTCGACAAGTCCGAATGCGGTTTTCGAATTGACTCATCAGCTTTGTTTAGTATTGGTTTTCTATAAGGTTTTTCTTTGAAATGAAAAAAAAAAAAAATTTAAATAAGCAGTACAGCGTAAAGTGTATAGTTAACAACAGGATAATTAAGTTTAAAAATTAGCTTAACGAGATATCACGGGCCCAACAAGGAGGTACAACTTTTTTTGAAATATTCATTTCAATTCATCACCGTTTTTATCGGAGTAACCATTTCCAAAAAATAGGTTAATGATAAAAAATACTAGAAAGCACATGGATGATTAATTACAGATGTATTTGTTGAATAGTTTATAATTGTATTGATCATTCATTGAAGGCAGTATTGTAATTTCCAAAAAAATTTACAGATAATTTGGTCACATTAAATTATGTGGAAAAAAAAAAAAAGTACGAACTGAAAATCAGTTATTAGTACTTAAATAAATAATGAATGATCATTCTGTAAATTTCCACCCTGGTAGAAAATTACTACGTAAACTGGCTAGAAACTCGTCAACGTGTTATAAGCCCATTGACGCATGTACGTTATGTAGTAACGCTTCTACCAGGGCAATGCCATTACCATTTAAAAAACACACACACAAATAAGTATAGTTAATTTATTGTTTAAATTATTTTTATTTATATAATATTTTTCAGATCTCAAGGAAAGTTATAATAATTACATGTTATTTACACAAATGAAATGTCTAAATTCAGAGTATGTATAGCTAGCCATAAAGCAAATCATTATTATTGATCGGATCAGATTCGATGTTGATATTAGAGCCTTTACTGGCACTTAATTCAACTTGGCTGGCCTGTCCAGCACTTATTTTTGTATTTGATCTTCTATCCCCGCTAGCAGATATCGAAGAAAGATTGCTGCCTCTAACATCAAGATTAGCGCCAGTCTTAGCATCAGTGTTAATCTGCGTGTCTTTCGTGGCGTCAACATGAGTGTTGGAAATGCTTTCACCCTTCGCGTCGATGCTAGACTCGAAATTAGCGGTCAGACCAAGATTGGCCATTTCTTTGGCGCTTAGTTTTATTTCCGATCCCTTGAAGGCGGAAACTCTACTGTTTGAGCTACTGTCAGCTTTTGCCTCCACCAAGGAACCTTCATTGCTGAATATATTAAGATTAGCGGCATTCTTTGCACTTGAGTCAACCTGTGATTTATGGTTTGCGTCTATTTTGGTATTTGATTTTGACTCAGCAATGACACCTACACGGGAGTTATCATTGACGAATACATCGAGATTAGCATCGTTTTTGGCATTTGAGATGACTTGAGACTTTTTGTTGGCGTCGATATTAGTATTAGAGCCGCCAACAGCTGTAGAATTCACTACGGATTCGGAATCGCCTCTGATATTCAAATTGGCGCTATCATTCGCACTTCCTACAACTTGAGTTTTTTCGCTTGCTTTTACAGCGACATTTGATTTATTCTTAGCATTTAATTCGATGAATGAGCCCGACTTGCCAATAGCATTAACATTGGATCCTTCATCGGCTACCACCTTTATGACAGTCCTATATATTACCTAAAAAATCAGATACATTAATTGTGTTAGATTAACTTATATTTTGTATTTTTGTTTGATAAGATATTTAATGTGAAAAATCAAAATAATGGTTGGGTTCGATAAATTTGTAACGCTACACCCACTCAATTATTGGAAAAGTAATCTTAATTTTGTAAAGAAGTGAATATAGCAACTTTACTTCATCCTCTTTAATAATATGACAAATATTACCAACAACACTGCACATAAACACTCTTACATATGATTAGATTTGACTCGTTAATTTTTAATAAAAATATGTCTGATATAATCCTCGAGTTCTTTGTTGTTTTTTTTAACACTAACTTACTAGATTTACTACAACTACGTGAAAACTACAAAATACAAATAGGAATTCATGTCAACAATATGCTTTGATAGACAAAAACTATTTTTAGTTTACATTGATGCCAGTTCTTCAAAGCATTGAATAGTTTTATAGATAGTATACGTTATCAGATCTTACCTTTGATCTAGTCTTCAATGGAATACACTGTAAATAAAATAACTAATTGTAATAACAATAATAACAACAACAACAATAATAATAATAATAATAAAAATAAAAAGTAATACATTTTGTTGAATCCCATAAAATTTTGAATAATTTGTTAAAATTACTCACCAGACCTGCTGTGACCAGAAGCACGAAAAGGAATGACTTGATCATTTCGAATGGTCGACTGACGATAATTTTCACCGTTAATCGGTATTCATTTAAAAACCGGTATTTATTCGAAAAATCTGATTGCTAAGACAACATTATCTTCGTCAATTGAGTGAATAAATCACTAAATTATAGTGGTATATAAGTACTAGTTATTGAATGTTATTCCGTAAGGTGTTTTTGCAAATGCTAATTTTTTGTATTCTCGAGTCGTACGTAATCTCTTGATTATTTCTTTTTTATTCGTTTACTTTTTTGTTTGTATTTTGAACGTATACTTTAATCTTACTTTGTTTTTTTATACACACAATTTTAAACGATATAGCACTTGTCACGGTCACAGCAATGAAGTACCTTTTTTATGTTAAAATAATCAACTTAGATTATTTAATACAATTCTGTACGTTTCAAATGATAAAAAAAATATTTCTTTACTTAGTTGTAAACTAATGTTATTTTTTGGTTGAAAAAATTTATAGCTTAAATTGAATAATTTATATTTATTACTCTCATAGCTTAAAATAAGATGATGAGATATTGGTTCGTGAGCTGACAATAAACACATCAAAAACCCAAATTCTTTGAGATTTTACCACTGCAGAATAAATTTATAGTTTTTTTTGAAGATAAATAAAGTTTTTGATATGAAATAAATATACTGCAATTAAAATGATGTTTGAATTTTGAGGCTGACGGACTGATGTAGTTTTGGTGGTAGAACAGTAAAGTAAAAATGTTTAATATGCAATTATTCACGAAATGCGATTCAGAAAAACAAACAAAAATATGTACATCATTCTTTTGGTCTCGTAAATAACAACAACAATAATAATAATTCATGATATAACGAAAACATCACGTGAGATAACATTTTATTTATAATACTTTAATGTCACCATCATTCAGCAATTTATTATTTTGGTAAATAACAATAAATTCAAACACGCAATTACAATTCTTAGAAATGAGAACATTCATATAAATACTCCCGAAACTCTAGATAGTGCATAGTTATCCAAAAATCGCATTATTGTAAAGGATATTTAATCATGATTGTAAAAACTTTCTTCTTAATTCTCTTGGCCACAGCAGTACTGGTGAGTAACGCAAACGAATAATTAGAAAAGCTATATAACGGAATATAATACTAGAATCAAAATTAATCAACAACTATCTTAGTGCAATCCATATGGTGGTAGATCAAAGGTAATAGACGTAATTTACATACAACTAATGTTCCGCTAATTAATTTTTAACATAAAAATATGTTCTGCTTCCTAACATCAATTCTACTAATACATTCTAATGTCTTGATATTCATTATGATGTTGGACTTTATGTATGTGTACAGCTCCTGCTTCTACTTTTAATACTGGAAAAATATATGTTCTTTCTGTATAAAAATTAGTGTTTTTTTTTATTGTTATTTCTCAGATTGACGTTAATGCTAATCAAGGAACAAATGTCAATGTTGTTGGTAAAATAAAGTCTACAATTGAACTTAATGCTAATACCAATGCCGACATAGTTATTGAAGCAAGAGACCATTCCAGTATTGCAGCTAACGCTGACAACCAGTCTAACTCTAGACTTAAGGCAAGCAGAAAATCTTCAATTGAAGCTAACGCTGGAAGCGGAGCCAGTTTAGATGTATCCAGTAATAACTGGTCTGATATAAACGCTAATGCAGATACTAAATCTAGTCCCAAACTTAAAGCCGACAGAAAATCTTCAATCAACACGAACGAGAAGGCTAGTGCCAAACTGAACGTTTTGAGTGATAACTGGTCAAATGTGAACGCTAATGCTGATACCGGATCGAACTCTCAACTTACGGCCAACATAAAATCGTCAACTGACGCTAATTCCAAGGGTAGTGCTAATCTAGATGTCGTTAGTAGTAAAGGATCAAATGTAAACGCTAACGCTGACACTGGGTCAAGTTCCAAACTAACGGCCAACATAAAATCATCGATCGACGCCAATGCCAAGGATAGTGCTAATCTAGATGTCGTTAGTAGTAAAGGGTCGAATGTGAACGTCAACGCAGATACCAACTCCAACTCTAAACTTGCAGCCAATGGAAAATCGACAATCGACGCCAATGCCAATGGTGGTGCCATTTTAGATGTTTCGAGTAATAACTGGTCAGATGTGGATGCTAACGCTGATACTGGATCAAAGTCCAAACTTATGGCCAACATAAAATCGTCAATTGCCGCCAACACTAATGGTGGGGCTAATCTAGATGTCTGGAGTAGTAAATTGTCAAGTGTTAACACTAATGCTGATACTAAAGCTAATTCGAAACTTACAGCTAACAGAAAATCGACAGTTGGTGCAAATGCTAATGGTGGTGCCAATCTAGATGTCATGAGTAAATACTGGTCAGATATTAATGTCAATGCTGATTCCAATTCCAACTCTAAACTGGATGCAAATAGGGGCTCAAAGATCGATGTCAACTCCCAGGGTGGCAGTAACCTCGACGTATTAAGCAAGAATTGGTCAACTGTTGCGTCAAATTTGGATAGCAAGGCTAATGCGAAAATTAATGCAGTCTTAAATACACAAGTTGAAGCAAACGCTTGGAAAAGCGCAAACCTTGACATCCAAGGAGCTGAATATGCTTTTATAGCTGCAAATGCTGGTGGCAAAGTTAACTCCAGAGTTAATGCTCAGATTGCAAACCAAGTTGGATTAAATGCCGATAAGAGGGCAATTGTTAACATTGAAGCCTCTGATTAATTAGTTATATCTGAGGCCTAAAAATTAGTATAGTTTGATGTTATTATGTAAAATTTGTATTGCATATTTTTCACTGAATACTATGAATTTATAAATAATTTAAATCAAAGTTACCGAATGTCAATAAATTATGTGTATACATCATGTGTATACATCATTACAAGTCCATTAGTGTCTTTATTACGCCCTCTATTTACTAGCTATTTACTACATATTCTTAATGTTAAAGAATCTTTTAGTCTTATTTCCAAATTAACTTTTTTTTTCATCGAAGTTCAATATTACATTGGCATAACTTATTCTTAATTAACTTGAAGTAGCATAACTTCAATTTCAGTTCATTTTCAATCTTGTAGTAAAAAAATTAAAAAAAAAAGATGTTGAAATCTTCCGGGCTTGCACGTAAAAGTTAAATCGAAGTTAACCTCTGGCTTGGACTTTCTAAGCTTATATTTCTTTTTTCGCTGGACAACCTTTGACATTCACGATTTAATTAGAACGAGGATTATTTCAACTATCTAATTTCAATTTTTGTAGCGTGTAGCTCAACCTTTAGCCGAAAAAAGCTACGACTTTTGGTACAAAATCTCGAAAACCCCATGAAAACTGTGTTTAAATTTTGAATATTTATTGAGTTTTATTTTTTAATTTTTGTGGGTAACATGCCCTGAAATTCGAATTATAGATTTGTTGAGTCTTATTTTATCATAGCTTTCAATGGTCAAATATCTGGGTGCAAAGATTCAACTTTCAAAAAGATAATAGGCCCCCTTAAGTAAAAAAATTCTTTGAGATTTTACCACTGCAGAATAAATTTATAGTTTTTTTTGAAGATAAATAAAGTTTTTGATATGAAATAAATATACTGCAATTAAAATGATGTTTGAATTTTGAGGCTGACGGACTGATGTAGTTTTGGTGGTAGAACAGTAAAGTAAAAATGTTTAATATGCAATTATTCACGAAATGCGATTCAGAAAAACAAACAAAAATATGTACATCATTCTTTTGGTCTCGTAAATAACAACAACAATAATAATAATTCATGATATAACGAAAACATCACGTGAGATAACATTTTATTTATAATACTTTAATGTCACCATCATTCAGCAATTTATTATTTTGGTAAATAACAATAAATTCAAACACGCAATTACAATTCTTAGAAATGAGAACATTCATATAAATACTCCCGAAACTCTAGATAGTGCATAGTTATCCAAAAATCGCATTATTGTAAAGGATATTTAATCATGATTGTAAAAACTTTCTTCTTAATTCTCTTGGCCACAGCAGTACTGGTGAGTAACGCAAACGAATAATTAGAAAAGCTATATAACGGAATATAATACTAGAATCAAAATTAATCAACAACTATCTTAGTGCAATCCATATGGTGGTAGATCAAAGGTAATAGACGTAATTTACATACAACTAATGTTCCGCTAATTAATTTTTAACATAAAAATATGTTCTGCTTCCTAACATCAATTCTACTAATACATTCTAATGTCTTGATATTCATTATGATGTTGGACTTTATGTATGTGTACAGCTCCTGCTTCTACTTTTAATACTGGAAAAATATATGTTCTTTCTGTATAAAAATTAGTGTTTTTTTTTATTGTTATTTCTCAGATTGACGTTAATGCTAATCAAGGAACAAATGTCAATGTTGTTGGTAAAATAAAGTCTACAATTGAACTTAATGCTAATACCAATGCCGACATAGTTATTGAAGCAAGAGACCATTCCAGTATTGCAGCTAACGCTGACAACCAGTCTAACTCTAGACTTAAGGCAAGCAGAAAATCTTCAATTGAAGCTAACGCTGGAAGCGGAGCCAGTTTAGATGTATCCAGTAATAACTGGTCTGATATAAACGCTAATGCAGATACTAAATCTAGTCCCAAACTTAAAGCCGACAGAAAATCTTCAATCAACACGAACGAGAAGGCTAGTGCCAAACTGAACGTTTTGAGTGATAACTGGTCAAATGTGAACGCTAATGCTGATACCGGATCGAACTCTCAACTTACGGCCAACATAAAATCGTCAACTGACGCTAATTCCAAGGGTAGTGCTAATCTAGATGTCGTTAGTAGTAAAGGATCAAATGTAAACGCTAACGCTGACACTGGGTCAAGTTCCAAACTAACGGCCAACATAAAATCATCGATCGACGCCAATGCCAAGGATAGTGCTAATCTAGATGTCGTTAGTAGTAAAGGGTCGAATGTGAACGTCAACGCAGATACCAACTCCAACTCTAAACTTGCAGCCAATGGAAAATCGACAATCGACGCCAATGCCAATGGTGGTGCCATTTTAGATGTTTCGAGTAATAACTGGTCAGATGTGGATGCTAACGCTGATACTGGATCAAAGTCCAAACTTATGGCCAACATAAAATCGTCAATTGCCGCCAACACTAATGGTGGGGCTAATCTAGATGTCTGGAGTAGTAAATTGTCAAGTGTTAACACTAATGCTGATACTAAAGCTAATTCGAAACTTACAGCTAACAGAAAATCGACAGTTGGTGCAAATGCTAATGGTGGTGCCAATCTAGATGTCATGAGTAAATACTGGTCAGATATTAATGTCAATGCTGATTCCAATTCCAACTCTAAACTGGATGCAAATAGGGGCTCAAAGATCGATGTCAACTCCCAGGGTGGCAGTAACCTCGACGTATTAAGCAAGAATTGGTCAACTGTTGCGTCAAATTTGGATAGCAAGGCTAATGCGAAAATTAATGCAGTCTTAAATACACAAGTTGAAGCAAACGCTTGGAAAAGCGCAAACCTTGACATCCAAGGAGCTGAATATGCTTTTATAGCTGCAAATGCTGGTGGCAAAGTTAACTCCAGAGTTAATGCTCAGATTGCAAACCAAGTTGGATTAAATGCCGATAAGAGGGCAATTGTTAACATTGAAGCCTCTGATTAATTAGTTATATCTGAGGCCTAAAAATTAGTATAGTTTGATGTTATTATGTAAAATTTGTATTGCATATTTTTCACTGAATACTATGAATTTATAAATAATTTAAATCAAAGTTACCGAATGTCAATAAATTATGTGTATACATCATGTGTATACATCATTACAAGTCCATTAGTGTCTTTATTACGCCCTCTATTTACTAGCTATTTACTACATATTCTTAATGTTAAAGAATCTTTTAGTCTTATTTCCAAATTAACTTTTTTTTTCATCGAAGTTCAATATTACATTGGCATAACTTATTCTTAATTAACTTGAAGTAGCATAACTTCAATTTCAGTTCATTTTCAATCTTGTAGTAAAAAAATTAAAAAAAAAAGATGTTGAAATCTTCCGGGCTTGCACGTAAAAGTTAAATCGAAGTTAACCTCTGGCTTGGACTTTCTAAGCTTATATTTCTTTTTTCGCTGGACAACCTTTGACATTCACGATTTAATTAGAACGAGGATTATTTCAACTATCTAATTTCAATTTTTGTAGCGTGTAGCTCAACCTTTAGCCGAAAAAAGCTACGACTTTTGGTACAAAATCTCGAAAACCCCATGAAAACTGTGTTTAAATTTTGAATATTTATTGAGTTTTATTTTTTAATTTTTGTGGGTAACATGCCCTGAAATTCGAATTATAGATTTGTTGAGTCTTATTTTATCATAGCTTTCAATGGTCAAATATCTGGGTGCAAAGATTCAACTTTCAAAAAGATAATAGGCCCCCTTAAGTAAAAACAAACTCACAAAATTGAAAGATGCTACCATTTAAAATATATGAGCCAAACGACAAATAAAAATAAAAAAATTCGAAACTAAATTTTTTTGCCATACTTTTTTTAAAAGATGCTACTACTATCTCAAATTTTTAAAGTACACATTGTGTCTATATGCTGCCATTCCAACGAGCATAGCTTTAACATAATTACTTGTTCATCTGTAAAGTTACATACCTCCAGCGATACACAAGAATGTATACTTTCAAATGATTGTAAAATTAGTACAAATAATTTTCTGCTCTATTTTCTTTTACACGTGTAACAAAATAGCCTGAAAGTATACTTACCTATAAATTATATTTTTCAATGTTAGTTAAAGGTATTGCAGTTATGTTTAAACATTTTGTATGTAAACAGTGTCATTAATATTCATCATAATGATTGTGCCTTCTATGCGATAGCTTAATGTTCGCTACTTTTAATGTCTTAATAAAGTTGTCTCAAAAGTTTTTGGGACACTTACATTTTATGAGCTGTTGTATTTTGCTGGGTATTTATTTATGCTATTGAAAGTTATTGAATAATTGTCTGGCTAGCAATAATTATTTTTGGTACGTGCGCGTTATTCTGGCTGAATCGAATATAATATCTAAAATCTGATTAGTTTGATCACGGAATTACTTAATTACTATGCCTCTGCATACTTTAAGTATCTTTAAATTCGCTTAACCATTTAATGGTAATTACGTCTCCACCCCTTTTTTTCATTTTTTGAAGAGTGATTATAGTTTTCCTGAATAAACGGCTTGCACCAAAACTTCTTGAAATCTGAAGAGATAAAAGAACTGGGAAGAATATTTCTTTCGTGCGTCAAATATGAGGATCTTCCTGTAAGGAAATATCAAATGAATGAGGGATGAAATTAAAATAAATATGTATTTTATTAATATTGCCGATAAACATCTTGTGTTATACAAACTGCATTAGTTATTGAATACATAAAATTGATAAAACATGTTATTTTTCTCAAAAATTATCGTCGTACGTAAACTTAACAAATATCATTAATCTTCCACTACAATATTGACATTAGCTCTGCGATTGGCATTCAACCCAACTTGACCTCCTCTGTTGGCAGAGACTCTAGAGTTTGAATTACTACCAGCATTAGCAGCTACAGAAGCGAGATTGTGGCTTATAATATCGAGACTCGCGCCATCCTTAGCATTAGCATCGACCTGTGATTCCCAGTTAGCATCAATCTTGGTGTTAGAGTTGGTATCAGCGTTTGCACCCACATTAGACCAATCGTTGCTCAATACGTCAAGACTGGCACCGTTTTTGGCATTAGCATCAACTTGTGATACCCAACCAGCATCGATCCTAGAGCTTGACTTTGAATCTGCATTTGCACCCACACGGGACCAGTCATTGCTTATTACATCGAGAGTCGCGTCATTCTTAGAGTTAGCATCGACTTGCGACACCCAATTGGCCTCTATTTTAGTGTTGGATTTAGAATCGGCGTTTGCACCTACACGAGACCAGTCACTGCTTGACACATCAAGGTTTGCACCGTTTTTGGCATTAGCGTCTACGTCAGATACCCAGTTAGCATCAATCTTGGTGTTGGAGTTGGTATCCGCGTTTGCACCCACACGGGACCATTCGTTGCTCAAGACGTCGAGGTTTGCACCGTTTTTGGCATTAGCGTCTACTTGAGATACCCAACCTGCATCAATCTTGGAGTTTGACTTTGAATCAGCGTTAACACCAACGCGTGACCAGTCATTGCTCCATACGTCTAGGTTTGCACCGTTTTTGGCATTAGCGTCTACGTCAGATACCCAGTTAGCATCAATCTTGGTGTTGGAGTTGGTATCCGCGTTAGCACCCACACGAGACCATTCGCTGCTAAACACGTCAAGATTGGCACCGTTCTTGGCATTAGCGTCGACCTCTGATTTCAAATTGGCTTCGATCCTGCTGCTGGATTTAGAATCTGCGTTTGCTCCTACACGAGATGATTTAGAACTGAGTACGCCGAGAGTCGCGCTATTCTTGGCATTAGCATCGACCTGCGAGTTCACATTGGCTTCGATTCTGCTGCTGGATTTAGAATCGGCGTTTGCACCCACACGAGATGATTCAGAACTCAGTATATCGAGGTTCGCGCTATTCTTGGCATTGGCGTCAACCTGTGATTTGAGGTTTGCATAAATTTTCGTGTTAGATTTGGAATCAGCATTGGCACCGACACGGGACGATTTGGAACTAAGTACATCGAGGTTTGCACTGTTTTTGGCGTTGGCGTCAACCTGCGATTCACGGTTGGCATCGATTTTCGTGTTGGACTTGGAATCAGCGTTAGCACCGACCCGGGATGATTTAGAACTAAGTATGTCAAGACTTGCCTTATTTTTAGCATTAGCGTCAACCTGTGATTTTCGGTTAGCGTCAATTCTTGTTTTAGATTTTGAGTCGGCGTTGGCGCTTACACGAGATGATTTGGAACTAAGTACGTCGAGATTAGCACTGTTTTTGGCATTGGAGTCGACTTGTGAGTGGTGGTTGGCATCGATTCTCGAGCTGGATTCGGAATCAGCGTTGGCGCTTACACGAGATGCGTCTGAGCTAAGTACGTCGAGACTGGCACTGTTTTTGGCATTGGAATCGACTTGTGAGTGGTGGTTGGCATCAATTCTCGTGTTGGATTTGGAATCAGCGTTGGCGCTTACACGAGACGCGTCTGAACTAAGTACGTCGAGATTGGCACTGTTTTTGGCATTGGCGTCTACCTGTGAGTTTAAATTAGCTTCAATTCTGCTACTTGATTCGGAATCTGCATTGGCACCGACTTTGGACGATTGGGAACTGAGTACGTCAAGATTTGCACTGTTTCTAGCATTGGTGTCTACCTGTGACTCATGGACGGCCTCGATTTTTGTGTTAGATTTAGAGTCTGCGTTAGCCTCTACGTTTGAATTGTGTCTTCCCTTGATGCTTAGATTAGCCAAATCTTTGGCATTTGCTGCGACATGTGTATTGTCCCTTGCGTCAACAACAACATTTGACTTAGTATTGGCGTTCACTTCAACTGTTGATTTTATCTTACTAACTACATCTACATTACTTCCTGTATCTGCGTTCACATCTACTTTGCTGTTTAACTTTACCTGAAACACCAAAAATGTTACATATAGTAAATAATGTTTAAAACTGATTGCTAATTATAATTATTATATTCATAAGTTGCAATAGCTCTCTATTCTGTATACTTTATTTTTCAAAATATTTTTATTTAATTTTATTATACATTGGCAATTTTCGTAATGCACATCTTACCTTTGGTATTAAATGAAGAGGGTGGCACTGAAAATAAAATAATGACGATTAAATATTATACATTTGATTTAATTGTAGACTATGGATAGTAAATAATGTTATAAACGTTACTCACCAATACTGCTGTAGCTAGAAAAACGACGAAGATTGATTTGACAATCATGATTTTTATTGTATAATATAAATTGTATATTATATATTGTTCGATGGGTATATATAATATACAATCTGTTGAATGTACTGATTGAGAATGGAACTCAAAAAGTTGATGGAGGTATTTATATGAAAATTATTATTTTCGAAAATTTCAATGAAGCGTGTTATTAACTGATAAAAGCATTACTGTTGACGTACATTTGCAAAATACGAAAGAGAAAAAATAAATAAAAAGATATTCAATGTTACAGTTTTAGTGGTTGACATGGTAAAAATTTTAAATATTTAAAAGTAATTAACGTAAAACAATATTTATTTTTCAGTATTTAAATCTTGGTATTTTTATACTTTGGAATTTTATCGTTAAATTTTGTAACAGCTTAAAATTAGAAATCATATTTTAGTAATTGCAGTGATGTTGAAAAAAATATTGGTGTACATTCTGTAAGGGTCAAGCTATTTATCGCACGTTTTTCGTAAACATAGTACTTTTGTCAATTTCATTTTATTTATTCGAAATACTGAGTGTAACTTGTAGTTTTAAAGTTGTTCAATATTCTTTAAATAAGTCTTCAGTACAAAACTTATTTGTTGACACAGTACTAGTGCAGACTAAGTTAATTTCTTTATCATTCGCTCCATGCATGCAGAGAACAAAAATTTCGTAATATTTATCGTTCTTGTATTGAAATGAAATTGAAATCGTCACAATACAAGTTAAAATTATACCTAACTAGAGTAAAAATGAAATATATTATTCAGCGTAATATTCTATTCAAAGCACGATTATTGGTATTTAAATTATGAGCGGGTGATGTTTAACAATAACGTGTGGGTAAATAAATGCCATTTTTACAGATTTTATGGTATAAGAATAGTTAAAATAGTAAAATGAAGAATCATACGACTTTACGTAATTATATTCATCGAAATGTGTAAAAGTATAAACAAAAATCTTAAGAATAGACATGTTCAAGAGACTATAAGAGTTCTACGAATAAAAATAAACATATACTGATTCAATGTATTCTGATGGTGTAGCAATTTCTAAAATATTGTTTGAAAGTTCAGACAAAGTAAAAATAATTTACGTGCTTTGTAAAGATTGAATACGATACAAATATAAGGTTATCGAAAACACCACTTGAAATAACATTTGAGACATGGCGATGAAATTTCACTATGACTGGATAATTTATTATTTCAGTTGGAAACGATGTACAATTGAGAATCTCATCAGCGTTTATACAAATAAAGACTTATCTTATAAATATCACGATGCACTTGGATTTGTACGAATGAAAAAAAAAAAAAAAAAAATTGTTATTTCGAATTGCTGGAAATCCCAATTCTGCTGCGTCATGAAAATCTTGTTTTTTCGCATACAGCACATGTGGTGCCTCGCAATACTCTAGTCTACATTCCTGCCAAGTTATCTTTTAGCATAACGATCCACGTGTTAAAAATAAATCGAAAGCTCTTGCAAACACTTAAACTGTTAGTCATAATATATCTAAGCCCCTCACCTTCAAAAATCCAACACACCCTTTCCCTGAAAAATTTCGGAAGCATCCATCCGTCATGAGATAAAAAAAAAGATCCAGCATGAAACTAGCACTTGCCCATTGATAAAATGGCACAAAGGCATAAAAGAGCTAAGAAAAGAACAAAACGTGTAGGTGACTATGAAGTAATGCATACAATACACAGGAGATAATCTGCGCGTCGAGAGCAGTGGCACGACAATCACTCGTGATCAGCTTCCCAGCCATGGGATTAAATGCCCGTATGTGTGTCATTATACATCGCACTACTTTGAAAGATTAAAGACCTTTTCTTCCCTTCTTTTTTTTATTTTTTTTTATTTTTTATTTTTTCTTTGACTACAGTAACTGCATAAATTGTCCTTCAAGGTGCCTGTCCGACTGTCGAGATTTTGTTACTTGTGTAGGAGAAATACCAATATCATTAACAGCCAATAATTAATTACCGTATACATACGAGTTTATCAAGATTTCATTTCCACGAGGTATAGCGTTTCACACGACAGCCGACGACTCATGAACCAACGCACATCCCCGTGCGAGCTCATGATAGCCAGTAGGTGGTTGCATGTTTCCTCAATCAATCATATTCGCATTCTATTAAAATACCCATCAGCATGCGGGGAGCAAAAAAAAAATCGATCCTCCAACAGCAACTCCCTTCTTCGAGGCACTCTGCTTTTACAAAACGAGCACGAAAGCAGAAAAAAAAATCAAATCAACGACGCCCTTCCACTTGCACGAGAGAAAAAATAAGCCCTTGTACCCCCGATACATGCGCATACGAAATACACACACACGTGGCACGTATCCTAGCCAACCCCTTTCTCCGTCCGTTCCTTCTCGGATCGCTCGCGAGATCATTTTGTTTCATTCCTCCCGCCGTCCTTCGCGAGAGAAATCACCGCAGCAGTCATTCCCTATGGCGCGAACAGTTGTAGGTACCAAAAAAAAAAAAAAAAAAAAAAAAAGGATCAAAGTCCACACGCGCGTGTACGTCTGCGCGAGGAGGCAGCTCGCATGAATGAACGAGCACGTTTCCTTGTGCGTTCACCGGCAGCGGAGGTGTCTCTTTTTTTTCCCATCTCAGCCTTCTACTTACTTCTTTCTTTTTTTACCTCGTTCTCTGTTTTGACCTGCACCTATATATATATGCCGGCTTTGTTTGAACGAGCACCGCGGCATGCCGCTGCACGAGATCTGGATTAAGATAGTGCTCTTTAATTCCTGATATCTGCTCATTTGACTATTCCTTTGTTTCGCGTGCCCGGCTTTCGGATACGGGTTTGTCTGCGTATATATATGTGTGTGTGTGTGTACGTATATTATATAGGGAGGCGCGTGCAGGTTTGAAGAAAACAAGAGGAAGACGAAGAAGGGAAGAAATAGTGAGATCTTGATTGTGGATGCGCGTACAAAGAAGCGGCTCGAGAGAGCGGGGCATTAATTTTTAAGTATATACAATGCGTAGCGCTGGGATGGAGTGCCCTGTGCGTTACGGTCTTGGGCGGGAATTCATTGTCTTTGTCATTTTTCACGCGTAAATCGGCCACTGGTGAATTTTAAATGGCTTCTTAAGTGATTCCAATCGGAACAGATTATAGCTTTAATTGAAATACATTTTTCTTTTTTTAACTCCCTCCCCCCACCCACCTGTTTTTTAAAATCTTTTTTGCAAAACTCATTTCTTTACACGAAGCGTTAATCCTGTCTTTATTAAATTACTTTGTGGTAAAATAAGATTAAACGATAGACATTGACGTACGTGTAAAGATACACCATTATTTGTTTTTGTTTTTGTTTTTTTTTCAAGTATGCAAAGCAACCATATAAATATATTTATTATATTTGAAACAAAGTACATAATCAAGCAAATTTTGATATAAAAATATTCATCGTCAGTAATATAGTGAAAAAAAAATTTTAAAAATTAAATCAATGATTCGGATGAAAAATTTATGATAAACTAGCACACAACTTTGAGTTGATTAAAAAAAAGAAAAAAATTAAAAATATGCACAAAGGATTTGCTTACATTTAAAAATAAAAGCACAAAATAGCTATAACAGCAAAAAAAAGATTAATTCACCTCCTGCTACAATTTCTGTATTTGAATATTCGATCCCCGCACCCTCGGGATATAAAAAAAAAAAAAAAAAAGAAGAGCAAAAAACAAAGACGAGGGGCAGGTTAAAAAGTTTATTAAAAGATTCCGGAATCAAAATCAAATCAAGCCGTGACATTCCTCTCCCGCCGGGGCTTTTGAAATTGTTTTGCGCGAGCTGCGTGTGTCTTTTTCGACCCATACGCTCTCTGTGTTTCTTCTTCCTTTCATTTCGCGTTGCACTTTTCCTTCTCTGACGAAATGTGCGCAAGGAGGGGGGGGACAACCCAAAGATAAAAAGTGCGAGTCGCACAAATTAAATAGCGGCAAGTGAGCGTGCATTGTTATTTTTGCGGTGACGTTTTTTTTTTTATTGTCAATCGGGAAAGTGTATTGTTTATTGTATACGTGCAAATTAACTGTTTCCTGTATTTTGTTGTGACGACTCGACTGTTTTCAATAATATTAACGAAGATTGTCGAAAATACGTTAGTCATAAAATTATTAACCGTCCATCAATTTTTTCACAAACAAACACACATTTCCAAGTAAATAATAATAATATATATTTTTTTTTTTTCAATCATCCTGCTCTTTTAAAGTTCATCGACGCAGCTATATTGGGGGCATAAAATATCCAAACATCCATAAAACTCGCACTCTGCTCTTAAAATACATCTCAAAGGCAAACGCGTCTTCCTCAAAGTCACGTATTCCCCTCAGCATTTAGCGTAGCTGCTAAATTATGAAATGGCAAAAGAGAGGGAGCAGGGAGGTCGATGCAGAGGAAAGGAAGAGAAAAATAGCGGGCCGAATATTAGGCAGATCGTAGTAGGCACAGGCTGTGCCAAATTCACGAAAAAGCCCCAATTATTGCGTATAGGCACAGGTGGCTGCAACGCTTTTGTCGTCCCCGTTTTCTCTGCTACTGCTGCTACATGCCGATCCTCTTTTCCCCTTCTTCATGGATATTTTTCTACCGAGTACTCGTTTCATTTTTCAGCTCTGATGCTCGCCCACTTTTATAACTCATTTCTCATCCCACTCGTAACATTTTTCAAGAGTACAGTCTTCACTTCGCGTATAATCATGGCAGCAGCCATACTTTTCCAAAGTTGAAGCCAAACTTCATTGGAATTACTCGTACATGAAAATATATTTGTTTAAAAATAAAATTTCAATATTTGAATGAAAATATAAATACATCGGCTGAATCTGACTGTCATAGTAAAACCGCTGTGACAAACAATTCTGTTTAATTACCAAATCCTTCACTTTGAAGATTTATTATTTCCAAAATGTTCAAATGAGAACCAAATATTTTTCATTCAAAGTCGTCGATTAATGATCTTCGTCCAC